GGGCAGGCTGCACAAGGTGTGTGATTAGTGGGGGACATGATTCGCTGAGAGTCACCTCCGTAACAACCTACCAGTCATGGGCAGGCTCCCTCAGCCTCTCTCCTTTGTGTTGGATTAAAAGAGCTGGGGCTTTGGAACAGGTGCAGGGGTGAGCTGTTGTCCTGGCTCTGACATTTCTCACCTGTGTGTTCCATCGGCATTGAAGGCTCACCATGACCTGCCCTTTGGACTTCTCTAACCTCAGTTCTGACCTGCCGCTGTGAGGGCAGGCAGGGAACCCACCAACAGTGGGTCAGCTCTGCTCCCTCTACCCCATCAATTGTCTACCAGCTAGGCGTTTCTGGATGCAGGTCTTTCTCTCCCTCCCATTCTTCTTATATCCCACCTGCTAAGGATTCAATTATGCCCATGCTTCACCTCTCCATCCCCCTGCCCCTCCAAAATGTGTTGAATCCCTGGCCTTTGTATCTGTGAAGTCCTGGTGTGGCACTGTGGGATAAAGGACTATACCACAAGGTCAGCAGTTCAAACTCAATCAGCCACTCCTTGGAAACCCTATGCAGGATTGCTGTGAGTCGGAACTGACTCTATGACATGTAATAACAACAATAACATATCTGTGGATCTGATCCTGTTTGGAAACTGGGTTTTTCTTGTGTTCATATCATACAGGTATAGAGGATCCTAAACCGCTTAACTTCTGGATTATAAAAAAAAAAAAAATCACAAAAGACAAGAGTGTTAACGTATATAGGGCCACACAGACACTATGTGAAGACTTTTTTTTTTTATAAACCAAAGATTGCCCAAAAAACCTCCCAAAAAAACCCAAACAACCAAGGCATGCCTAGGGCTACCCACCAGGAAAGAATTGACACAGTCAAGATCTTGGTTTGGTTTTTTAGCCTCCAGACTGTGGCAAAATCGTTTTTCTAAAGCCAACCACTGTGAGGGTATTTGTGTTACAACTGCACTAGGAAACTAAGACATCACCCTTGTCCCCAAGGTCCTCTCCACCTGCCACCTTCCCTTTGGACACCACATCCCCTGCCGGGCTTCCCCACCTCAGAGGCCTTGTCATCTGCCCCTCACGTGCCCTACAGCTGCCTTGCATTGTTAATCTTCTCTTTTCATTCATCCCTTTTTATCCCGCCACCAGAGTAGAAGCCCTTGGGGTCTTGGTTTGGAGCCAGGGGCAATAAGGAACACTTGTGGAGATGAACAAGGCAGGCTGGCACTGAGAAAGCTGGACAGATGGTCAGGGTGGTGACCATACCTTCCCAGCCAGGAGGCCCTGGGCTGTGGCAACAATAGCCTTTCTGGTATCCTGCCAAAGAGTCCATATGCAACATATGCAACAGACCAAGGTGTTGGCAGGTAAGGTGAGCAGTAAGGAGCTCTGGTAGCGTAGTGGTTACGAATCGGGCTGCGAACCTTAAGGTCAGCAGTTCGAAACTGCCAGATGCTCCGCGGGAGAAAGATGAGGCTTTCTACTCCCGTAAAGATTTACACCCTCGGAAACCCTGTACAGGGTCGCTATGGGTCGGAACCGACTCGACAGCACTTAACAAGGCATGAGAGGCAAAGGGAGGGAGACACTCTTTGGAGAGGGTCCTTCTGCCTTGGTCACCCTTCCCCTTCCTTCAGGTCAGCCCAGGGTCCACTTTACAGATGAGGTCACCAGTGTAGTTATGTGGCAAGTGGCAGGGGACAACTTTAAGTTTGACCCCAAGGCCTTTTCTTTTCCCACGACCCTAACCCATGTCCATCCAGGGCTCTCCACACTTCCTTTGCTGGCAGAAAGGTATCCAACCTTTCTTGCTCATGATGTAGACATTCCCAGTGGCTGCCACCCCTCCGTGAGGGGACTGAGGGGAAGCAAGGGCTGACACGAAAAAAGGTGGGATACTGAAGGCATGAGAAATGGCATTCTTTATTCATAAATAAAAACATAAAATTACCCAAAATACTTTACATGGCCAGAAAACAGCATCAGAAGTAAAGTAAAATGAAGCTGGCAAAAGCAAAGCAAAGCAAAGAACCAAAGTCAATAAAGAGAAGAAAATATCTATGTACATATTCTTCCAAATGCCAGTCCAGCCAAAGCGTGCCTCTGCTGAGGTGTCCACCTTGGCCTGCGGAGGCTCCTCTTACTCAGGGGCATAGCATCGATCTGAGCTGGCAGTCACTCTCCCACACACTAACAGCTCAGCGGCTCACTCTCCAGCCACTCTTACTAAAGGTGGACTAGCTTCCAGGAAACAGGGCCCAGGGGCTCAGTGGCTCAGGGAGTGCCTGGAAAGGAGGCTTGGCGCCTGGGGAAGAGATTACCCCCAGCTACTGCGTGAGTCCTGGCCCCTGGATAAAAAGGCGCTGAGAGTCTGAATATCCCATTTCCAAGACCAGGCAGAGTCTTCATGGTGAGATGGTGCTTTTCTTTGCAGAGAGAGGGATTATTTTCAGGCCAGGCATTCTTTAGCAGAGAGGCTGGCTTGCTAGCCGGAGCAGACTTCGTTGACTGGCTGGAAGCATGCAGGAAGGCCTGCAGATCTGACATTTCCAGTCCCCCTCCACCCCATCTCCAAGTCAGCTCTGCTATCCAGTGTCCCCTTTGGGAGAAGCTGGGTTTGGAAGGATCCAAGAACAGTGAAGATGCTTAACAAGGAAAGGAAGAAAAACTGCATGGAGGTGAGGTTGCTATGTTACAGGACACTGTGTCCTCCGGACTACCCTAGGGTCTTGGGCTGGTGTAGCTCAAGGAGGTCATCTGCTACCTCAGATTGTGGGCCAGGTGTGGCCAGTATGTGTAGGGTGGCCTGGGGAGGGTTATGAGCCCGTGGGTAGAGGGTGTGGGTTTTGAGTAGAAGTAGCTCTGCCCTGGCTGAGTACACACCTCTCGTGAAGCCAAACCTTGAGGGCAGTTGCCAGGCCTTTGGCTGCTCTGCCCTGGGATGGTCCAGCCAGACCCTCTGTCCTCCTGGGGCAATCTCACTGGGAAGGAGGATGCAAACAAGGCACAGGCTGGTGTGACAAGGAAGAAAACAGAGTGAGCACAATGGAGGATGCTGGGAGGGGGCTTTTGGCCTGTCAGTTCCAGGTTTAAATCGAGCCAGTGACTAAGAGCAATGGCTAGAAATTACAGAAAACCTCCTCCTTCATGGGAGTGCAGAAGACAGGCACAACTTAACGCTAGGAAGGAGACGTGATGAGACTGTGTGGACAAGAAGAGAAGCAGTCCCTAACTGATCCTGCAAGGGCCTGACCCAGAGGCAGAAGTGGAATGTCCTGGGAATCTCCCATCCCCAACTCTGAGCCCAGCCAACCCTCTCAGCAGGAAGGCAGGAGGCTCAGGCAGCCAGCAAGGGCTGGTGTCTTAAGAACAGCAGCTGTGGCTAGAGTCAAAAATAGAACAGGCAACAGCCTGGCTGCCTGCTAGATCTGCTTGCTTCTGAAAAGACAAGAAAGGAAAAAAAATAAAGAAAATTCCCTGCACCAAGCAACTAAAAAGCTCAACTTTTTTTTTCCTCCCCAGCTCCATACCTTTCAGAAGAGAAACCCCAAGTGCCCAGCACCCTCTGGGAAAGGCTGTCAACTCCTATATTCTTTATAGGAGGGGCTTATGGTGAAGGGAAGTTGGTGGCCCTGGGCACTTCATAAAGCTGTGTCTATGTGCCTCTTCTTCCAGTCTGGGACTCCAGCCCACTGGCATACTGGGGTCTCTCCTAATCTTGAAGACTTCTGTTTGAGCTTAGCACTGAAGATGCTCTGTAGAAACTAGGCCCAGAGGACCACAGGCAAAGATGGAAATGTCCAGAATCCTACATGCACCATTTTAGTGAGCATGGGCTACTCTGAGTGGTAAGCAAGGTACCTGGATGGCACAAATGGTTGGGCTCAGCTAACTGATAGGTTGGCGGTTCAAACCCACCCAGCAGCATTACAGAAGCCAGACCTAGCAATCTGCTTCTGGAAAGACACAAGCCAAAAGAACTCTGTGGAGCAGTTCTACTCTGTACACAGGGAGTCACCACGAGCCACATCGATTCAACAGCAACGAGCTTAGTTTTTGTTGGTTTGGGCTGGCAAGCAAAGGATTAATCCTTGGGAAGGAAGGATCCAGAGCAGACACCAGCCAACTTTAAACTCAGCAGGAAAACCCCTACCTCAAGCCCTACCAGGAAAAACCAGGAGGCTCTCCTTGGGACAACCAGAGAGTTTCATCCTACCTGCCTCAGGTTCCCTTCCATGTTTCTTCTCAGCCCCCACTCCAAGGCCTCAGGTCTATGGCTTTAAGAGTGGACCATGAGTTCAAAGCACCAGCCGAAACAAGATTGCTCATCTCTAGCCAGTACCTGCCATGACCCTCACTACTACTTAGCTCCTCCCTTTGACCTCCTCAGGGTCAACACTCCCGGGCTGCCCCAGCTCTCCCCATCTTTTGTGGCTTGCTGAGGTAGGCATAGCCCACTTACTCCAGCTTCTCTACCTCCGCAGTCAGAGGAAAACAGCTCAGGTTATAGTGGGATCCTATTCCAAGGCTGGTCAGGAATGGCTTCTTTTAATTCTCAAGGCATCCCAAGGTGTTCAAGAGGGGAAAAGATAGTGGGAAGAAAGACAGGAAGGGAGCTTCTGTCTTTGTGGCGGGGGTGGGTGTGGGTGGGGGGTGGGAATTCGTCCTCTATGGCAGTCACAAGCTTCCCTGGAAAAGGCTGTCTGTTTCCAATGGTTCATGTCAACCCCTCAAGGTTTGGTTTGGGGGAGCCCTTAACCATGAAGACCCCTGCCCCACGTCTCTTGGGAAGGCAAGGGGAGTCATAGCTGGTGAGCCCTAGGACATGGGAAACAAGAGAAAGGCCCTATCACAAGCCCTCCCTCCCACTCCAGACTGTAGTCTGTGCCGCAGGGTCAGCTTTTCAGGGAGGCCAGAGCTGCTGAGCAGGGGGAGATTGGGAGGGGATACCTCCTCCAACAAGCTCAGCACCCCTGCTCCTAATGCTGGACCCCAGCCCTCCTAATCCCAGGGGCCCTTCAGATCTCAGTGGCTATGATGTCCTCATAGGGGATGTCAGCCCCTTCGAGGTCAATCTCAAGGGGTTCCCCTGCACCCTCCCCACGGGCCAGCTGCTGCAAGGCCTTCTCCAGGCGTTGGTTGCGCTGGTACATGGCCAGGTAGCTCTGCTGCAGCTGCTTCTGGTATTGAATCACTTTCTCCTTCTCCTCCTTCCACACCAGCCGCTCATGCTGGAAGCCCGACGACAGCTGGTCGTGGCCTTGACGCTCCTCCTTTAACTCGGCCCGCAGCCGCTCCAACTCCCGCTGCAGGGCAGGGATGTCCTCAGAGAAGGTGGCTCCAGGCCCCAGGCCCCGCAGGGAAGCCCCCTGGGCCCGCAGCTCCATCAGCTCCTGCTCCAGCAGGTTCACCTTCTCACGAAGCAGCTCCGACTCGTTCTTCTTGCGTTGGAGCTCATTTTCGCAGACCTCCAGCTCTAGGCCCTTGGTGCGCAGAGCGCTCTCCAGGTCCTGTGTCTTCAGCTCCATACCCTCCAGCTTGGCCCGAGCGTCCTTCAGCTGTGCCTTCAGATTGAGGATCTCACTGGCCTTGGCATTGACCTCTGACTGGGACTCCTTCAGCTGCTGTTTCAGAAGCGAGATCTCGCCTGACTTCTGGCACACCTGCCAAGGGTGAGGGTCAAAAGAAAAGAGGGAATGCCAGAGGTGAGTGCCCAAATGAATCTAAACCGTCTGAGAGAATGAAGCTCATCTTGAGATGGTACCTTAATGAAGAGTCCCAACCATAGTGGTTGGAATCCTAGTGTGGTGCTGTGGGTTAATGCGCCAGACTGCAAAGCTGTTTGAACTGCAAGGTCGGCAGTTCAAGCTCACCAGCCACTCCTCGGAAACCCTATACAGGGTCACTATGGGTTGGAACTGACTCGATTGATGGCACTTAACAACAACAACAACCACAGTGGTTACGAATTGGGCTGCTAATCTCATGGTCAGCAGTTCGAACTTACCAGCTGTTCCGCAGGAGAAAGACTTTCTGCTTCTGTAAAGACTTACAGCCTCGGAAACCCTGTACAGGGCCTCTGTGAGTTGGAACATAACAACCACCACCACAGAGGTCAAACCAAAAAACCAAACGCATCGCTGTTGAGTTGTTTCTGCCTTATAGAGACCTTGTAGGACAGAATGGAACTGCTCCGTAGGGTTTCCAAGACTATAAACCTTTCCAGGAGCACACTGGTGGCTTGTGGCTGCTATCAGCCTTTTTGTTAACAGTCAAGCACTTATATACTACACCATCAGGCCTCCAGATACAAACAAAGGTCAAGCCCCTCTAATGATAGCTTTCATTCTCCAGTCCAGCTTGGTCCATCCACAGGTCTGTCGTATCCCTAATTCAGGGTTTAAGTCTCAATCTCAAGACTATGTATAAATCAAGAAGTACTGACTGGTTCAATTTGCCCCACTGCCTGTAGCTCCAGCATCCACATTAACACCAATGGTTTGATGTCAGGATCTGTTTGATTTCTAGCATTCATGTTTACGATCAAACCCTCTGACCTCACCCTTATGGCCTCCACACACCCAGCTCTCCACTACAAGGATAAAGACAGAGTCACCACATCCCCAGTAACTAATGCTCCAAGTCTGGCCTCAAGACAGTGCCCAACAGGGATCTGATGAAGGATGGATTATTGTATTCTTCACCTGCCCTGTGCCGCCACTGTTTCTACTCTGACCCATCATCAAACTTCAGCAAAGAGCAGTGATGCACACAAAAACACGCCATCAGACTTGCATGTCTCTAGGGTCTTGGTCATTTAGGGTCATGGGTAGCTCAAAGGAAGACAAAGGCCAGTCTGGAGGGTTGTGTCTCAAGAGTGTGTACACACCTGCTATACTGTGGTGACCAGTCAGAATAAAGGCAAAGATCTGGGCCACTCTTGAACAGATTGTCAGGACAAGACTGCAAAAGACCTCACTTGTTCTCTCAGATGAGAAGCTCCCCCTTTCTCTCAGGAAGGACCTCAATGTTTCCTTGGGACACTGACAATGCTTTCCCACACCCAAGGTGTCTCCATTCCATGTAGGGAGTAGTGCAGAGGCCTGGCTGCAGTACAGGCTCCAAAGCAGACTGCCTGCATCTGAATTCTGCCTCTACTACTTAGGAGGAGCCCAATGATCTTGGCTGCATTAGTATGGCGGCAATCCTGAGTAGTGGTTAAAACTGGGAGCTGCAGGATCAGACTGTTGGCATCAAAGTGTAGCTCTTGTCACTTTAATACATTTGTCGTTGTTGCTAAGTGCTGGCTAAATTTATAGAGACCCTATATAGCGTTTTCAAGGAACAGCTAGTGGGTTCAAACCACTGACCTTGTGGTTAGCAGTCCAGTGTTTATACTATAGTGCCACACCAGGATTCTATTTAATATGTATTGTTAAGTTCTGTCAAGTTGGTTCTGACTCATAAGGACCCTGTATAGGGTTCCAAGAAGTGGCTGGTGGGCTTTAACTGCCAACCTTGTGGTCAGCAGTCCAGTGCTTATCCTACAGCACCACATATGTGTATACATATGTAGCAAGCCACTATTCGTTATCATAGCCTCCTTATGCCTCAGTTTCTTTAACTCTAAATTGAGGATTAGTGACGGTGCCTATTTCACAGGATTAAATGAGGGAAGCTAGGGCATGGCTCTTAACTGACACTAGAAATTATTATGTATTGTTACTAACGTCTTAATAATAATAATATGCCTATATGTCATAAATTATTAATAATATATATATGA